GTGTTCGCCCAGGGCGCCAAACAGGCTAGGACCGCCACTGCGCAGGAGCAAGTGTTTGTCGGTGCTCACTTTTTCTGGAGGTAAAGATTTGGAATTATATTTATGTTAAAAGTTCTGTATGAAAAAAATCTAAATAACAAGCAAATTATTTAGTTTTACAAACACTAGTATTCATTGATACTTTACACAATTCCTTGTGCAGAAATTCAAAAATCCATATGTGAAGAGTTCAGCAGCCACGGCCACAAAGAAGCCATTGCGCACACCAGAGTGTGTGCTTTGGAAGCGCTGCAGAAGATTTCCTCTCTCCTTCATGCTCTTGAAATTGAAATCAACTGACTATTGACTGTTTGGGGGGCAGAGCATAAACAAAATGGGGTCCTAATGTGATTGGTCGCTTTGATTGACAATTCAGGTTACTGTATTAAACTGAATTATACTTTGGCACCAATATAAGTGCCTTTTTAACTTGGAGCTATATGAATAAAAGTAAATTGAATTCAGTTAATCCATTCTTGACTTTTAATAAAAACCTTAAAACTACAATTTAATCCCCTCTCTCACATAGAAACAACAGAAATTATTATTTATTTATTTATGATAAATCTGACCACTTGCTTTGAAACAATATCACCATGTAATAGCATGTCAGTTTTGCTGACTCATTATTTTCCATGATCAAACCACATCCTTTGAACTCAGCGTATAAAGCTATGCATCAAAGTATATTTCATGGCATTCGACATCTAATCAAAGAGGGGTAAGACAAAATGTTCTGCCTGAAGAATTTAGGTCTTTTAATCTCATGTTTGATTTTCTTCATCATCCAGTCAAGTGAGTAATATTTTCTATTGCACATTCATTCATTACACAGAATGCAAGGGCATTATTTTCAGTATTACAAAGCCGCTGGCATTTCTTGTGTTTTACTCATCTGTTCCTTCTTTCATTTTTAAGCTCTTGACTTGATTATCTTGTGATTTAGTTATTTAAGTGAATATTTTATTTTATTTTTAGGTCATGGTTCTGAGATTATTGGAGGGAAGGAAGTCAGGCCACACTCCCTGAGTTTCATGGCTTACTTGAAAAGTAAAAAGTCTTTCTGTGGGGGGATATTAATCCATCCACAATGGGTCCTGACTGCTGCCCACTGCACTAAGTACAGACTTACTCTTCTGACATCAAATCAAAATATATTAATATTTTTGACAGACTGTGAAAAATAACACATTGTGTGGTTTTTTTTTATACATTTTTACAATATATACATAATAATATAAAATAATATTTACATATAACATATGTATACATATAACATACTGTCAGTAATCCTTTCACTGATACTGTGAGTACAAACATGCTAAAACTTTACGTCTTCAGTGTAAATAATTTACATAATTACTTATCATGTTAATAGTAGGCACAATCAAATCAGCGTCTCCTTAAAATGTATTTGAATAAACTCATGGCGGAAGCGACCACATTTCAGTGTTTCTCAGCAGTCTTTTATTACTTTCGGTTGCTGTCACTTTTCACACCCTGCTTCAGCTTTTCACCTCGCAGTTGCTCACTTCCCCTACAACAACTAAGAAAGGACCTAGTTCACCCTTCTAAAGCAGGCGCAGCGTGATCGCTGATGACGCTCAGGTGCGTCCACCTCGCCCCACTACAGCATTGCTTTTAAAAATCCCTCAGATTTTTCTGCTGTTTTTAAGGAAAAGCCTCAGCTCTCAGGAAAAAAGCCTGTAAGCCACGAATATGTTTGACTGCTTTGCACATTAATGAAAATAGAGGTTGATAACACTCCAAAAAAGATAGACAAAATCTGTTCATATTCTAGCCATCATCACCCTACACCCATGAAAGTAATTTTTCAGTAAAACCCATAACGCAACCACCTCTAATAATATACATATAACAAAATATAGAGTTAATTTATCTTTGTTTTACGTAGTCCTCCCCTATGAAGCTTTTATATATGCTAACTTTACTTTGTATTTTTTTCTTTTACAGTATTAGTGAGGTGATCCTGGGAGCACACTCCATCAAGAAAGAGGAAAAAGATTCGAAACAATTCCGAGAGGTTAAGAATCAATTTCCTCATCCTGACTTTTGTAATATATTAAAGGGCAATGACCTCATGTTGCTCAAGGTAAGG